CAGAGACACACACATATAATAAATAGAAACAAATTTTCTTTAAAAAAAAAAAAAAAAAGAGAGAGAGAGAGAGAGAAATCAATTCGATTTCAAATTCCCTAAGCTGGCACAAGAAGATCATCTGTATGAAGTAAGGGAGCAAGCAGTATAGCTGGACAGAATACATCCTCAGCCAAAGGCCATTACAGCCCATTTTCTAACAGCCTGGTCCTGGCTAAATCATCTACTCTCCCAGGTTCCCTTTCCTTAGAGGTAAAAGCTGTTCCCTTTGCTCATGGACTAATTGGCTAAGATCACATGAGGGTTCAGATCCTCTAATGTCTTCTCACCGGATCCCCTTACCCTGAGCTCTGGAAAGAAGCTATAATTATATGCTCTCTAGCCTCATAATAAAGGCTTATAATTTATCTTCCCCAGATAAAGAGAACATTTCCTCCTCTAAGAAGAAACCACCACAACCACACATCCAAATTCTCTGCCCTCAAGGCCCAGCTGAAATCTGAATCCTCCCCAGCCAACCAAACATTACCTTAAAGGTCCTAATTCTTAGGGTTCAGTGTTTCCCTACCCCAGCAATATCCAGTGCCCAGGGAATGCAGTCCTAGCTACAGGATAGGCGTCGAGGATGGACATGACCTCTCCTTGAATAGACCCAACATCACATAACCAGCACTTCCTCGGCAACCTTTGTGCTTTCTAACCCATATCACAATTACATACAAACGCACTCAAACCATAAATATGATCTGCAGCCCTAAGTCACTACGAGAAGCAGGCTAGTCAGCTTCCTGATAAATATACAGATAAAGAACAAAGCTTGCAGAGCTCCTGGAGTACAGAATTTGAAGTCTCAGGATATGAAGGGTTCTAACAGGCCCAGGCATGGCAAACATGGCACCAACAGGTCTTCCAATCCCCTTTCTCTCCTCCCCCTTCCCCAGACCTTGCTAACCCATCAGATTACATTCCTAAAGTGAGCAACTAAGGTCCATTCCCTATCTGGTTACTTTCTTATGCTCGACTCATCCCTGAGGCTGAAGACCAAGATCCAACTAGAAAACATTAAGGACCAACAATCAACATTCAGTATTTGGTTACATTGACTAACATGTCCAATCAGGACTTACCAACGCTTCCTAGCACAGTCTCCGCTTTTCTCCTTAAAAACCACTCCTCCAAAAAACACCTGCTACTGTTTTTGCCAGATCCAGAGGCAGCCACCCCTACCCTCCCACCCCCCATCCCTGTTTGTCCCCCATGGTAATAAAATCTCCTTGGTGCTGAGAATATGGTGTCTGGGTGTGTTCTGGGCTAACTCTGAGGCTCCTTCAGGATAGAACAAGTCGCCAGTACCTTGTTAATGAACTCCACTGGGTCAAAACATTCTACTTGCTGCTACATAGGGGAAAGAAATAACTTAATTCGAAAAGGGGAAATATAACTAAAATAAAGCTGATACAGGGCTAATCACTTCTGTAGTCTGACAGGGGAACCCTACTTCCCACCTTCAGCTAGTCCAAACCACAGAAAGGTGGATACACAAATTGTGTCCACCTCCTTCCATGCCTTAATCAGGAACTACAATGTCAAACTTCCCACACTCATTTTCCAACTGCCTTCTATGATGGTGTCTCCCCTCAGGTCAGGGTCTTAGTTGAGCTAGGTGTGGTGGTGCACACCTGTAATTCTAGCACTCGTGAGGTAGAGACAAGAGGATCTTCACATGTTTGGGGAGAGCCATGTTCCACATAGTGAGGTTCAAACCAGCAAGATTATATGGCAAGACCTTGTGGGGAAAGAAAAAACACCAAAACCCAACAAACAACTGAAGAACACGGATCACAAAGATCTAGCTACACTTCAATGTTAGAAAAAGGCATGGCTGCAGTTTGTAGCAGGCTTTCTTTTGGGCCACCAATCAGCCCCCCAAATCATGACATAGAAACTTATTATTAGTTGTAAATGCTCCGCCTTATCTCATGCTTGTCCCAATAGCTCTCATAACTTAAATTAACCTGTTTCTCTTCATCTACATTTTGCCTCGGGGCTTTTTTACCTTTCTTTCATTCTGTATGTCCTACTCCAAGTCTGGCTGGCTGGTGGCTGCCTGGCTGCTCCCTGGCCTTCTCCCTCTCTTTCTCCTCATTGTCTCTTCTCCCTCTCTCGAGCCCCGATTCTTCCTCCTACTTCTCTCTGCCCGCCAGCCCCAGCTATCCCTCACCTGCCTAGCTAGCTTATAGAGACCAGCATCTTAAAGGGGCAGGCCCATGATCTAACAGTATGGAATACAGTAATTCCATATAAGGTGACTCTACAATATAAAACTTCCTTTATATATCATTGTTATATTTAATTGTAAAGATAGTAAATGGCTTTACATTGCTTCAAAAAGCAAGAAATATTTACTGTCAAGAATTATGGTATTCTTAACTCAGTATTAAAGAAAATGTTTACATTTTGAGGACTAAATGACAGTGGATACGTACCCAATTGTTTGTAGTTATTATCTAATAAAACCTTGTTCTAAAATAGAATGACAGAACACATGAGTAAGGTCCAGTCTCAGCCTCTGGGCCAATTCTACCTAGAATCTCAGTAGAGTTGTTGCATTTAAAAAGTCACTTCTGAAGTGAAGATGAGCAAAACAAAGATTTAGTTTGGGAAAGTGATTTTTTTAATTAATCCTTCAAGGCAATGATAGCCAACAAAAGAAAAATCACAAAATAAAGTATGTTTATAAAGACTTGGAATAGCGTTAACGAATGTTAATTGTTACAGCAATTATAGTAGTTTATTTGAACAAAGAAAAAGAAAATGGCGTGAGAATCAGGCAACTCCCAAACCAAAGCAGGTTCTAGAACAGTAACAGTGTGATGATCTGAAAGCATTTACAGAAAATGGAAACAGCACTGAAAATGCCATTGGAGGTAACATAATCAACTAGTCGACAGCTTGCAACTTCATTGCAAGTTACTGAATTGGTTATAGGACCTCTTGAATAATGTTTAATTACTATGATTAAAGTCTACATTAGTCTATTGTGTCCACTGGTGGTACCCAGGCTGTATCCATAGCCTCTGACAAATCTGACGAGTAACACTAAGACCCTATCAATTTCCTGATCTTAACCACTCCTTGAACTGACAGGTCTACTACCCAAACTATTTTAACTCTGCAAATTCTGTTAGCTGTATTTGATCACAACAAAGATATTTAGATGTGCACGTTATTGTGCACATTAGTAACTAATTCCCTTGTAATTAGGCACAAACTCCACACACTTCACAACAAAGATATTTAGATGTGTACGTTATTGTGCACATTAGTAACTAATTCCCTTGTATTTAGGCACAAACTCCACACACTTCCAAGATGAAAGTACAATACAGCAGAAATGTATTCCCCACTCCTTTTTGACAAGTCAAAACAATTTAAATATTTTTCATTCTTATTCTGGTAATTTTGTTTATCTGTAACTTGCAATGTGTAGTTTTTACTGGTGCCCTATATTTTATATCAATAGCAACCAATAGTTTATTACCTCAAGAGAACACAGCTCTGTTCTCACTCTGTAACAATGTGAAAACCTTCCTTATGGTCTTCAGCTAGTTAAGAAATTACAAAGAAAAACTCAACAATATTAATAGATCTCATTAAACCTGAGGCAATGACCTGACCAAACAGCAAGGGAGCAATACTGAGACACATTCTGTTAATGTTTATTAAAAAATTAAATTTTAAATATTTATTTATGTATTTTATGTAAGTTTTGTCTCATACATAAACGGCCAGCCTGGGCTACAGAGTGAGTTGGAAAGGCGCAAAGCTACACAGAGAAACCTTGTCTTGAAAAACAAAAAAAAGCAAAAATAAATAAATGAATTTTAAAAGCCTGTTTTGATTAGGAGAAAATCAGAGAGCTTAAAAGTATTTTTTATAAAAGCACTGTATCGTCAATACTTTTAAATGTCACTGTATCATGACTAATAGGTTTGTTTGTTTTTTAGATTCAAGGACAACAGGTTGCAAGCACACTAAAGAATTCTCTGCCCTAATGTTCCTGAAAATACAAGTTGCTTTGCATAGAGCACACATCATTTCAAAACTAGATACACCAAAACAGATGAGAACGGATGTTAATTTAATCGTAGTCTTATCGTTTAAAATTACTTCTTAGCCGGACGGTGGTGGCGCACGCCTTTAACCCCAGCACTCGGGAGGCAGAGGCAGGTGGATCTTTGTGAGTTCGAGGCCAGCCTGGTCTACAGAGCAAGATCCAGGAAAAGGCGCAAAGCTACACAGAGAAACCCTGTCTCAAAAAACCAAAAAAAAAATAAAATTACTCTTTACTGTTTGGGGGCGGGGAAGATTAAAGAAAAGGCTTGTAGCAACGTCGTTATATAAAACCAGATTCGAAAACTAATATCAGGGCTTTCCAAACACAGTAACCAGAACCAGCAGAGGCTTCTCTTCGCACAGCCCTAAGATCAAGGACCAGAACAAAAAACTTTACTACTTTAGCAAGATGGTCTGTAAAATCTGAATTCTGAGGGGGCGGGGGTGGGGGTGGGAGAGAGACACCATCAAGAGAAAACTTTTTGCCTTGGGTCTGAAATGATGCCTCGGAAATCCCTCAGTCCCAAGGGATACCTAATTAATCATGACATCTAAAGTCCAGACTTTTAGCGTTTTTGTTTTTGTTTTAAAAACACACTACAAAACTGCGCGCTTAAAAGTAAAAACAATAATAATAATAATAACAACCAAGAATTGCATGGTGTCCCACGTCTGTAATTCCAGCACTCGGAAGGCTTCGAACGAAAGCTCAGACAGTCTGGGCTACAAAATGAGACCCTGTCTCCAAAAATAAAAGGTAAACAGTACAAAAGTCCAGACCCTCAATGACTATCCCGGAAACGGGAGAAAGTCACAGCCAAACGCCAAGTGCACAACAAATCGGCGACTTGACACCTCCAAGCAGCGGCAAGGGCAGCACTCACCCAGCATTCACCGGGGAAACGCAGACCGCGGGCGTTTCGAAGTCAGCAGCGCGACCACACACTCGCTCTGCAGTCTCTGAGCTCAACCTCTCGCTTAGCATCCACCGTGCGCGCTGGGCGCCGCCATCTTGACGGAAAGAGGTCCGGGCCCGAGGTCCCTGCGCCGCTCGCCCAGAGAGAAGCCGGTGATCCAGGAAGTCGCTAGCTAGTCAACTCCGCACCTCTGGAGCTGTGTCCCCCCAACCAAGATGACGCCGATTATCTCAGGCTGCCGATCAGGCCCAGGCAAAGCAAACTCACCCTCTCAGTCGCGCACAGCGGGTCAGGCAGCGCTCAAGACAGCCTCACCGGGCAGGGGCGGGGCAGCGGCGCACGCTTCGTAACCCGGGCAACCGGGCCTGGGCAGGTGTAGGGGGCGTGGTGTCCGGAGACGCCAAGGTCTCGGCCCCGCCCCCGAGCGGTTCGGCGGAAGAGTGCAGGCTGAGGAGACTGCCAGCCGCGGAGTTCGAGTCCGTAAGCGTCCTCCGGAGGAGTGTGCCTGGGCCTGGACGGCCGGGCCTCCTGCCGCTGGACCAGCCTGTGAGGAACGCGGAGCCTCCCGGACGCGGGCGCCTCCCCTTAGGTGCCCGCCGCCCTGCCTGCGCCGCCTCCTCGCGCACGGGACTCTTTCCCCAGGCCGCGAGTCAGGCGGAGCCGCTGCTTCTGCTTTCCAGCGTGCTTTTTGCATCGTTTGACATTTGGGGTTGAGTTAAACCCGGGCCGCCCTCGAAGAAGGACCCGTTTGTTTTTTGTTATTATTTTTTGTGTGTTTCCAACATGGCAGCCTCCAGCCGCGCACAAGTGTTAGATCTGTACCGGGCGATGCTGAGAGAGAGCAAGCATTTCAGCGCCTACAATTACAGGTGACCCGGGGGGAGCGCCGGGAATGGGATGCCCAGGTCTGTCTCTAGGGGTCGCGGAACAGGCGCCCGCAGCTTGGGTTAGTGACAGGCTCCTCTGCTGTGACGCGCACGTGCAGCTGTCCACCCCCAGGTGTGACCCTCGGAGCCCGGGAGGGGAGGAGCCAAGGACTTGCCCTTCAAGTCCTGGGACATCTTCCCTGAACTGACTGACACCCAAGCTGGTGCTTTAGGACCCTTGGCCAGTGTCTTGTTTCTGCGATACGAAACGATGGACGTGAAGCCGCGAGTGAGAAAAGTTAGGACAAGCAAACATGTGCGGTACATGAAACTTTCCTTGAGAATACGACTGGAAGCAGTCGCTCATGACCACGTGGCCGCAAAGCTGAAGGCTTGCTCTAGGTCCCCCTTTCATTTACACCGGTGTATTAATTTGCGACTCTGGGGCCAGGGACCAGAGCAGCGTTTCTGAACCTGTGGGTCAAGACCCCCTAAAATGACTCTTTCACCAGGGTTGCTTAAGACCATTTGAAAACACAAATATTTACATTATGATTCATAGCAGTAACAAAATTACAGTTATGAAGTAGCAACAAATAATTTTATGGGGGGGGGGGGTCGCCACAACATAGGAACTGTATTAAAAGGTCACAGCATTATGAAGGTTGAGACAGTGAATTAGAGGATAAAGGAGAGGGAGCGGGTACTTATACAAGGAGTGTTAAAGGTAAGAGGAGTTGCTAAGCCTTCAGAAACTGAAATGTTAGTTTATCCTACCTCACCAGACTGAGATCTTCCCTCTAGGTCCTAGAGTCTGGGACCTATTACAGCAAGAAAACAAGAGCATCAGTTCTTCAAAAAAGAAATTTAAGTTATACATAAATGCACAAAAATCATGCATTAATGGGGTGCCATGTGTGTACCTCACGTTCATGCAATAAAACTTTTACATTTTTAAGCCAGCCCATTTTTTCCATGCCTGGCCCATTCCACTACTTGTATATGAGACCCTTATACTTGTTAGGAAGTTCTCCACCTCAGAGCCCCCACCTTCTCATTTTCTACTTCTTTGGAACTTCTGACCCACCATTTCGGTAGAGCCTTCAGGGTTTTCCTGAGATGTGGTGTCTTACTGACTAATTACCTGAATCCTCTGAGACTGAAGCATACTCCTAAGAACAAGAATCGGATGGAACCAGCTCATTTTTCTTTAATGGGTTACTTATTTACAGTTACTTCCCAAGTGTTCAGATTACTTCACAAACTAGTCTTCACTTTTTATCATTTCAGACATTATTGATGCCATACCCTTAGATAACTGACTAGGCTATGGTGTCCTGGTGTCCGCTAACTCCTGAAACAGACCTGGTTCTAGGTGCACCCTCCTCTAGAAATTGAGCTGCAAGGTCCTGTGATGGGCAGGCCATGCACAACCTCATTCTGTGGAGGGATGCACCAAATATCTCCAGCAGTAATTCATCTTTTAGAAACCTACTGAGAAATTATACTTGTCCTGTCAACTTGAGAACAGCATTGGTTGTGCTAGTGAGCTCATACCCACTAAAGACATGGTTAAATGAAACATGGTTTTACTTGATGGAAGATAAAGGATATAAACACTAAACCTACAGATTGATGTTCCATAAATACCTACTGCTAAGTACTTACAATTGATGGAATACAGGAAATTTGGAAGTAAATACTTGGAGTGTTCCCCACAGTCTAAAAGATGTTCTGTCTCAAGAATAAACATGGAAGGAATAAACAGAGACTAGGTCACACTAGAGGGCATATCTGGGAACAGATTGTATAAAACACAGGAAGCAGCCCTCAACAGAGTTTGTAACCTTGGAGTTACTCGGCCTCTGAGATTCAGTTTTCTTCATGGCAAAACTAAGTCATTGGACTAGACAGCCTCTTAAGGGCCCTTCATTTCTAAACTTCCATCTGGAAGTGACTTAAAAGCCGATCAATACAACAAACGTTTTCCAAGTCCCTAGGAGTAAACCGAAAATCCTTGGCTGTGCCTAATAGAAATGTAAAACTGAGCTTCAGCATAAGCAACTATATGCTGATAAGCACCCTGAGAGTAGTCTGTGCCTCACACCAGATGTGTTTTCCACGGAAATCTAGTGGTCACTTTTACCAGATATCATTTACCCAAAACCTGAGAACCCTGCCTGCATTATCATTATGTCCCACGAAAATAAATCTTGCTTCCTATAAAATATATCTGCTTCTCTAATTCCCTATAGAACTCAAAAATAACTGCTTCCCTCCTCTCTCAACTGAACACTGTTTGTCATCATGGCAATCACTGAGAGTATCCATTGATCACTTCCATGTTTTCTGTTCTTTATGTCTATTAGCACAATTATTTTGGAAAACCTCATGAGGTACTGTTTTTATGAACTAAACAAAACCAAGCACTAGAGACGCTAAGCTATCAAAAGTCACGAAGCTGATGCTAGATAACCAATCCAGAGAGCATTGTTGAGCCAGGACATGGTGGGGCACAACTGTAATCCTGACACTCAGGAAGCAGGAAGATGAGTTCAAGGCCAGCCTGGTCTATACAGCAAGTTCAAGGTCAGCTTGGGTTACATGATCCTCTGTCTCAAAAATGAAAAAAAGGCAATAGTGAAAAATTTGTAAAGAACCCAAAAGTTTTGATGTCTAAAGTAATCACAGTGCTGAACTATTTTGTAAGACCTGTACCTAGGCCTCATTTCAATATCGTGGGCAGGTTTCATCCCATCACCAGCAAGCCTCACTCACACGCCCTATGTTCTTTATTGTTTCTTTCTTTCCTCCCTCTCTCTTTATCTCTCCACCTCTCTCCTTCCTCCCCCTCTTCCCATGGCTCAAGAGCTGGGATTAAAGGCTTCTACCAAAAGGCAGCCACTTGTCATTTCTTAAATGTACCGTGTTCTTCAGTCCTCAGACCTTTGAAAGTCCTCCTCTGTCTAGCATATCCCTTATCACCCCTACCCTGAATGCCTTCTCTTCCTTAAGATATTGTAGTTATGACCTCTGAATATTCCTTTTCCATTCACTTCATTGCACAGCCTCCACCACAGACAATTCTTTTACCACCACCAAGACATCCAAACAGACTTAGTGCTTCCAGAAAACCTCTGAAGCTTCCTTTCCCCAACACTAAATCAGGCCCCAGAAATACAAAGGTGAGCGCTTTGGACTTGGCAACCCATGTTCTCTCAGTAGCTAACAGGAAGGGTTTTTGCAGCCTATTGTGATAGAAGCTTGGGCAGGGTGTAGAATCAGCTGGAGGACCTCCCAGACATTGGCATCAGATCAGCTGCGAGCAGAGTAGCATAAACTCAGGTAACTACAAGCAGAATATTGCAGCTCAGATGACAGACATACCAGGGCTTGTAGTCTCCACTGTGGAACCTGGGTTTTGTCTTAGCTGAGAAACAGCCAAGCCACCCTATTGCGATTTCAAGTTGTTAAGTGACAACCAAATCTGAGGATTAGGTAAGTTCCTTTGGGCAGCAGGATAAGAGTATCTTGAGCTAGAAGCTAGAAGTAAAGACATTAGTAGGAGTTGATTGTAATAGTGCAGAAGAGAAATTAGAGAACATAAGAAAACAGACTTTTGTAGGAAAATATTAGAACTCTGATGATGCAGTCTTAGTCACTATTCTATTGCTGTGAAGAGACACCATGACTAAGGCAGTTCTTTAAAAATAAGCATTTAATTGAGGCTTGCTTACAGTTTCAGAGGGCCAGTCCATTATCATCATGGCAGGGAGCATGACAGCACACAGACAGACATGGTGCTGGAACAGTAGCTGAAAGTTCTACATCATGATCCCTTGGCAACAGGGAGAGAGAGACTGGGCCTGGCCTTTGAAACCTCAAAGCTCACCTACAAGGCCAACAAGTACTCCAATAAGGCCACACCTCCTAAGCATTCAAATGTATGAGTCTGTGGAGGCCATTCTTATTCAAACTACTACAGGCACCAAAATAACATCAACTTGGGTCTAGAGTATGGGTCAGGTTAAGCTAAGGCCCAGAAAAGGGGAAACAGATGCCCTGCCATTAACTGACTAAAACAGTAAAGAAATAGCTGGTCTGAAGAGATCTTTCACTAACTTTGGGAATGTCCCCAAGTAGGAATGGAGCCCAGAGCACCCTGCAGAAGCAGGTAATCACAGCCTGCACCTCAGGAGCCCCAGCACCCAAACAGCCTGAGCCACCATATCCTTGTGGCCCTGGGAGAGTCTCCAGCATGCTCTGTCCTGCACTTTCTCTTTTTTAACATTTAAAAATGTAGACTTTAACAAGTGTGATCAGGTCAGCTTGTGGAGAAGCTGACATAGAAAAGTTGGAGATACAAGTGACCATCCAGAGTTTCTATACCTGATTCATTTTGCAGAATATTTGTTAAGGTGGTTTAATGTACAATTTTTCATTTATTGTTTTGAAAGACCTTTATTGTAAAGTTATGCTTTTATCTGATGAAAAACAGCAGTCACAATGATCATTCTGGACCTTCATCTTAGATAAATTCCATTTCCCTTTTTTTTTTTTTTTTTTTTGGTTTTTTTCGAGACAGGGTTTCTCTGTGTAGCTTTGCGCCTTTCCTGGAACTCACTTGGTAGCCCAGGCTGGCCTCGAACTCACAGAGATCCACCTGGCTCTGCCTCCCAAGTGCTGGGATTAAAGGCGTGCGCCACCCCCCCCCACCCCCCCCCACCCCCCCACCCCGGCAAATTCCATTTCTTCTTGGGACAATGGTTCTCTTTGTATTTCCAAGATACTGTTCATATTATTTCTGCATTTCTGGTAGCCCCTAATGCATCAGCAAATGTTGGGATATACTTTTGAATGCTGTGATGTTATAGAAGAGTGAGAGGGTAGCCCAGCTTACCTCAAAGCTTCTGAGGCATTAAGTTTAGGATCGTCTCTTCAGTCAGGGAACCTTATTAATGGAGCATGTGTCTTAACTACTGGCACAGCCCCACTGGCTGACA